AGCCACTGCACTCAGAGCAGCTGGTAAGAACTCCATCTCACTCCCTAGGCCCCAGAAATACATCTGGGAGCCAGGGACATCTAGGGCACAGCAGCTACCCAAACCCTGCCCCTCCGGAATTCCACTTCCCTTCGGCCCCTGCCTGGTCCCTGGGACTGGAGCAGACACAGAGTAGGTCTGCTCCTGTCCTGTGGAGAAACTGAATCCTGAGTCATCGAGAAGTCACTACACTCAGAGCAGCTGAAACTGAATTCTGAGTCATCAGGGACCCACTGCACTCAGAGCAGCTGGAGCCACTGCACTCAGAGCAGCTGACACAGAGTTGGTCTGCTCCTGTCCTGTGGAGAAACTGAATCCTGAGTCATCTAGGAGCCACTGCACTCAGAGCAGCTGAAACTGAATCCTGAGTCATCGAGAACCCACTGCACTCAGAGCAGCCGAGGAGCCACTGCACTCAGAACAGAAGGATTACCAGATCCAAGAGGTGGCCTGAGTCCCAGGAGTTCTTCCACCCGGGAGATTAGGGGCATAAGACCACAGAGACCTCTGGACTCCGAGGAGCTCTGCAATAAGCAAGATAACTGGAAATACAGATTCCAATCTTACACAGAGAGGGCAGGTACCACTAGAGTTACCCAGATGGCGAAAGGCAAGCGCAAGAACATAAGCAACAGAAACCAAAGTTTCTTGGCATCATCAGTGCCCAGTTCTCCCAATATAGCAAGCCCTGAACACCCCTTCACACCTGAAAAGCAGGATTCAGAATTAAAATCACTTCTCATGATGATGATAGAGGATTATAAGAAGGAATTAAGTAACTCCCTTAAAGAAATACAGGAGAGTACAAGTAAACAGATAGAAGCCCTTAAAGAGGAATCACAGAAATCCCTTAAAGAAATGCAAGAAAACACAAAGAAGGAATTAAACAAAAACATTCAGGATCTGAAACTGGAAATAGAAACAATAAAGAAAGTTCAAAGGGAGACAACCATGGAGATAGAAAACCTAAGAAAGAGATCAGGAGTCACAGACGCAAGCATCACCAACCGAATACAAGAGATAGAAGAGAGAATCTCAAATGCAGAAGATACGGTGGAAAATATTGACACAGTTGTCAAAGAAAATGAAAAAAGCAAAAAACTCCTAACTCAAAACATCCAGGAAATTCAGGACACAATGAGAAGACCAAACCTAAGGATAATAGGTATAGATGAGAATGAAGATTCCCAACTTAAAGGGCCAGTAAATATCTTCAACAAAATCATTGAGGAAAATTTCCCTAACCTAAAGAACAAGATGCCCATAAACATACAAGAAGCCTACAGAACACCAAATAGACTAGACCAGAAAAGAAATACCTCCCGTCACATAATAATCAAAACATCAGATGCACAAAACAAAGAAAAAATACTAAAAGCAGTAAGGGAAAAAGGTCAAGTAACATATAAAGGCAGACCTATAAGAATTACACCAGACTTCTCACCAGAGACTATAAAAGCCAGAAGAGCCTGGACGGACATCATACAGACCCTAAGAGAACACAATTGCCAGCCCAGATTACTATACCCAGCAAAACTCTCAATCAATATAGATGGTGAAACCAAGATATTCCATGACAAAACCAAATTTGCACAATATCTTCCCACAAACCCAGCACTTCAAAGGATAATGGATGGAAAACGCCAACACAAGGAGGGAAACTACAACCTAGAAAAAGCAAGGAAGTAATCTTCCAACAACCCCAAAAGAAGATAACTATACAAACATAACTTTACCTCTAATAACAAAAATAACAGGAAGCCACAATCATTTTTCCTTAATATCTCTTAACATCAATGGTCTCAATTCCCCAATAAAAAGACGCAGACTAGCAGACTGGATACACAAACAAGACCCAGAATTTTGCTGCATACAAGAAACACACCTCAGTGACAAAGACAGACACTACCTCAGAATAAAAGGGTGGAAAACAATTTTCCAAGCCAATGGTCCCAAGAAACAAGCTGGAGTAGCCATTCTAATATCAAATAAAATCGACTTCCATCCAAAATTAATCAAAAAAGATAAGGAAGGACACTTCATACTCATCAAAGGAAAAAGCTACCAAGGTGAACTCTCAATTCTGAACATCTATGCCCCAAACGCAAGGGCACCTACATACATAAAAGAAACTTTACTAAAGCTCAAAACACACATTACACC